CAAATGTTGCTCACAGATTACTACATTGTAATAGTCTATTTTGAAAATTTCCCTAACAGAGCTACATAGATACATATGGTCTGACAACATATCTATAGAGATATGAACAATTACAGCTATGACCACTTCTGACATAGAACCACTGTCTTATGTTCATATTCATATGCAAGCACAGAAAAATCCATACTCCATGGTAGTATAAGTAATATGAAGGGCAGGATTCTCTAATAGCTCCAGTGGCTGAGAGTAATATGTTATGCAGTGGTAGAACAGTAATGTAAACAGCTAGTAGACTAAAAACTGGAGAACGCGCCAGGCAGTGGTGGTGCACACCTTTAATCCCAGCTCTCGGGGGGCAGAGGCGGGTAGATCTCTGAGTTAGATGCCAATCTGGTCTTCATTGCAAGTTCCAGGACACCCAAGGCTACACAAAAACCTTGTCTTGAAAAAATATAATGACACGCAACATATGGAACCGAAGATGAAAAAAGAAATTTGTTGGCAAGAGAGGCAATGGCTGGCAGGGGAATGGAAAGAACGTCCTGATTTTCACATAAAATGTTTATAGTTGGAAGTCCTACTTGACTGCTATCTACATACTTTTACTAATTAATTGCTAAAATGTATCAAAGAAGCCACAGGTTTAGGACAGGAGTAGGAGTGGGTGGACAAAGATACCCAGGGACTATATTAAGCAAAGAAGAAAGTTCCAGTTATTGAAGAACCAAAGGACCCAGAGATTCTGAATGTACTCACTCTGCTGCTAAAGCTAAAAATGATTAATGTTGAATGGTAAGTTCCGAAGTCCTTGCCTTCCCTGCTGCCTACCTTCTGGTAGTGTCTACATTATATCTTTCTTTTTTCTACCCTTCAGTCTTTTAAAGTATTCCCATCTGTTCAGAATTACTTTAATTCCAAACTAGAATGTCTGTATTTACTAGGGGCGAGTAGTAGTAGAAAGAAATGATGGAAGGAGGTCACTGAGGTGTCCACTGGAAAATATACCTTGGCACCAGTCTCTCCCCTGCTCTTAGACACTGTGATGTAAGCAGTGTCTATCAGATGCTCCCAGCACCGTGATAGTCTACCTTGCCTTCGACGTACAGAATTCAGCTGACCTTGAACTAAAACCTCTGAGATGAAACGGTTTGACTGAGGTATTTGCCACATTGATGAAAAGTTGACCAGCTCAGATACCATCTGGATAAAAGTAAGTACATGTTAAATAAAATCGTCCATGATATATACTTATGGAGCTAAAATAATCTATTGAAAAAGCTGTGTTGTCACCTTAAATAATAATCATTTATCTGGGTAAATACCTCTCAGCAACTTTCTAAAGATATCTTTAAATTACTTTGAGAGAAATAAGACATTAAGCTTCAACGCTTATCCAAAATCAAAACCATTTGAAAATGCACAGCATGGCTCTGTGAGAGAACATTAGCATGTTCGAGCTAACGGGATTAATAAGTAAATAATTAAAATAAAAATCCACAGTAAATGCACAGCATGGGGTAGGGTGTGACTCTGTGAGAGAACATTAGCATGCACGAGCTAACGGGATTAATAATTAAAATAAAAATCCACAGTAAATTTGGACGAACATTTATGTCTCTGTTAAATAAAAGTATTTGCACTTTTAACGTTGCAGGACTTTGTTTTTATTTTGGTAACTTTATATAGAAGCAGAACCAACCAAGTTAAATGGAGAAAATACAGCAATCTTTATATTTGTACCATCTGGGTAAAAGTAAACTAATTCATAATAATGATTACTTATGACGGTTGGAAAATTTCAGTAATAAGCACACTGTATAGCAAACATAAAGAGTGCCAATCAAAGAAAGCCAACACTTCCTATATTCTGTATTCGAAATAGCCAGTCATTTATAAACCTTTCAAACAGTAGATTTGCTTCAACATTCCAATTTTAATTAATGACCTACTATTACTCCTTTGGAAAATAAATACTTAAATGCAAAGATTCCCGTGAAAAAATTGCTGTTTTGGCTAAAACTGAGATTGGAAGATTACCTGATTATTTCATCTCTTCCTTTCCCTGTTTATTAATCCGGGGTTATAGTGCAACTACATTTTTGGGGTTGCCAGCAGGAAATCCTTTCCAAGTAAACTGATTCCAATGAGTCATTAAAATTATAAAATACTATATTAAGCTGCAATAAAAGTGCTATGGTTTACTATTACTGTTTTCTAAATTTATTCATTAAAACTTTAAATTCCCTATACATATATCGACTGAAACTGCTACTGTCAAAAACTGAAAGTTCACTTGGCAGTGGTGGCGCATGCCTTTAATCCCAGACTCACCAGACAGAGGCAGCTGGGTCTTTGGGTTCAAGGCCTCCCCGGTCTATCAAGTTCCGGGTCAGCCATAGATACACAGAGAAACCAAAACAAAAAAAGAAAAGAAAAGTTCATTTGTGTATGGGGGCATATGCCTCTCTAGTCCCAGACCTTGGGCATCGGAGACAGGAGGATTTGAGGCTAGCTGGGCTACAGAGGAACAAGACCAGGTCTCTAATAAATAAATAAACAAAGATTTAATTGTATTAAAAAAAGAGAAAAAAAAATCTTCAACAACAACTCCATCTCAAACCTGGACCCTACGACCCATTGCCATAACATGAATCCCAACATTTCCCATCATTTGCCTTCTATGGAAAGTCCTGAAGACTTAGTAACTTAGTCAAGATCTCTATTTTTGTGACTATTTCTAGAGTCTTCTCATTTTCTAATTTAGAATTCTTCTCTTTTGTGATTTTGAGCACTCCAAAACAGGTAAAAGGATACCAAAAAAGTACTGAAATATGACAAATATATGGTGTTTGGTCTAAATTACAGGGGCAGGTTTAGACACTACAGAATTTATTTCTTGTCCTTTATCTCATGTTCTATTGCAATTTTGAGTAAAAATAGAACACATCTTCTAAGTTTACCCTACATTTAAGCTAAATGTAACCTAAATTTTGGTTTTCTACTTGCATGTCTAAGATTGTCTATAGCCACTAACACATTCAGAACTACTTAGTATCTTCAAATACTTAGTGCCTAAAATAATCGCTTACTCCCCACAGCATTCTGAAGCTATGGACAACTTCACGAAAGCACATTTTCCTATTGGCTAGTACTGGCTAGCAGTCACGATTCCTTCTTCAGTTTAATCTAAGTTAGATACTGCTGAACGTTTTTAGCAGTCATCCACTAAAGGGTTTGAGCAAGTTCCCAAGAAATTGCAACATATTAAAACCAAATATTTGTGCTTGGAGGTTTCCAGAGATACATTTTTTCACGATTCAGATTTGTAAAGTATAAAAAAAAATTGTAAACAACAAAACTTGAAGAAGTAGCCAGACTGAGCTTAAACTGCTCCTGCAGAAGATAGGGAAAACATTAGCAAATTTATTTAAGACCATGCATTCATGTCAACTAAATGCATCTTTCTACCATGGCCTCTTTAATATATTAGTCACTGTACATAGTGTCATATAAAGGCTTTATAAATCACAAATATCAAAATCAATAATTTACTGTTTAGTCAAACCCCCCTTGAGAGAATCAGCATGATGAATTGGTTGTCATGAGTAAGCATGGAAAACTTTGCTAATGTTTCAAATACACAGAAGAGCACACGTGACCAGACTGCATGGTGCTCTCAGTCTCACCCGACACATCCAAAGGAGGAGGGATACAGGGATGTTGTGAAGCTCTGACCACACAGCAGTCTGGACAGCCTACTTTTTCGGACGTTCTTTAAAAATATTTTCAAATTAAAAATCTGGCAAAATTTAGCTATTAAAATACCAAAACTCAAAATAATTAAAATACCAAAACTTATTTTTCATGTCTTAGTGACATTTTCCTCTGCCTTTTACCTTCCTTAAGTTTAAAACAGAGACACAAGCCTTTCTAAAATACCTCAGCCTTCAAAAGTCACAAAAGCCACGGTGATCCACCTCAGGCATAGACACAGAAATGTGCACAAACGCTGCCTTTCATTCCTCACCCCTGTCTGCCCCTCGTCCCAACTGGCTTAGCTGATATGCTTTGACATAAAGCATAGATTCTGCTGAGAGAAAGATATTCTTCCCTTGGCTCTTCAAGAGGCAATAGCGAGGCACAGCAAACTTTTATACCTTTAAGGCAAACGCTCTCAAACATTAGTGTTTGAAGAATCACCTGGGGTGAATAAAATGTCAAAGTCTGGGGGCGGGGACTCATACTTTGCATTTTAAACAAGTACTCAGACATATTATCACACCAGGTCTAATAGGCTTGGGGAAAGGCTGCCTTAAAATCAAGGTAACCTACCCCTGCCCAAGATACGCAAGCCACAGTAATGTTCAGGTTCCTCTCCATCAATGGACCGACCCCCTTAGCACATTACATTGGCTGCTCACCACTGCCAAACCAGTATCCACAGCCCTTATCATGCCCTCCCACATTCAAAAGCGTCTCAGGTCAGGGAGAGTCTGAGAGCAAGATGCCCAGATGACAGAGGCAGACAGACAGAGGCACAGTGGCAAAAAGTGTGAAGTACAGGAACGAGAAAACAGTGGGAGTCAGGCTGATTATGCAATCCGGTTTCAAAGTTAGCCACTGGTTTTAAACTTTGTCCATTAGCAAAATTGGACAGAACAAGAGACCCGTGGACTGGCTGCAGCTCTGACACTAATTAGCTTAATGACCTCAAGTGCTATTTTTCACTTCTGTAAATTAGAGGAAAATGCTGCTTCCCTTGGTTATCCCACAGCAATAATAAGAAAGCCAAATGAACTTAGCTTTGTGAACTGAAACTGCAAAATACAAAACAACACAACAATGCAAATATTATTAACACAGTTCTTAATCAACACACCCTAGACATCAATGGAAGATTAATTGATAACTGAATGTCTTCAAATACCTCAGGGTCTCTTATTAAATAAATTCTTATCAGAAAAAAACAGGTACAGAAAAATGTAGACCCTTAGACATACCCTGAAGTTGATTTTTTGAATAAATCCTTGAAATCGGCTTGTTTTAAAGACAATTGCCTCCGTCTCCTGAAAGTGGAGTGCAAAAAAAAAAAAAATCTGGTTAATTGTGACTTTATTGTATCTGGTTCAAAATTTTCAATGCACAACCTGAAAATATTTAATGTAATTTAATAGGCCATATTTGTAAAATCTAAACACTTAAGGCCATACAGAACAGTTTGCCACAATATAAATTAGTTTTACAAAATGTAACAGAAAGTCATAAGATTCAATTTGTTTTTAGAAGCTTTCTTAATATTTCAGAAACTATAAAATTCAGATTGGCATTAAGTACTACATTGGTTTGCAGCTGATCTATAAGGCCAAGCTAATCAAATTAGCATAGAAGGAAACGGTTTTTTTTTCCAGTAGATAAACTTCAGCCTTTGGAATGATTTGTCAGTTTTTTAGCTTTTTACACTTAAAGGTCAGCTCTTTTCTGATACACTGCTTTGTCATGAAGACCAGAAAGCAAATGACAGACATTTTAATCATTCAGAGAACAAATGGCTCATGTTCTTCTAGGTTAATTTACTACCTTTTTTCTTATTTCCATACTGCCTATAATTAATAAAAACAGCTAAATAGATGTACAATCCCCTGTACAGTAAATTTCGGGGATTTTTTCTGTGAAGTTTTCTAATATAGCCAGCTCCTTCGGAATACATACAAGCAAGCACACACACGCACACACACACAAACACACACACATACACACACACACTCACACACACACACACACACACACACACACGCATACATCTCAACATTGGACAGACATTCTTCTGGTACTGCCTCCGGAATGCAGTTTTAAAAATAGAGACCACTACCAGAAACACTGCAGTATATGCTGCTGACAGTCAAATATCCTTAAAAAGATGACAATTTGCTGGCAGATGTTTGAGGCACTCCAACACAATGCATAATTTATTTGCATTTATTTCATTGATGTTGCTATCAGCTTATACAAAACAAACATTAGCCTTCCCTAATATTTTCCTCAAAATAAGCCATCTCGGAACTTTTTTTCTGGATCATTTCACAAGCATTAGTGCATTATTAAAGTCATAACTAGATTAAAGTCTAGAGAATCTTTAGAAAGACCATGACAAAGACATTATCCAAATATCCTCTTAAGTCAAAGGGCTCTCTACAAAAAATGACGCTGTTGAGAATTTTATTTCTTTGTGAAAATGATATATTAAAGACAGTGTCTCTTTAATGGAAATACTATTTCAAAGCTTACTTTAAAAATGCTATACACAAAAATATTATGGTTAAATAAGAAAAAGGTATAATAGGTTAAATTCACATTTGTCATTACTTCTTATTAAGCCTTGTCAAGCAAATGCCAATTCTATTTCTCCTATGTATATAATATACTAAAATATCTTTAAATACAGGTTATTTTATATTCTTATTAATATTATTCCTTTTCTTTGTGTATATAAGAACAATCTGGTGTGCCACCTTCTGGTGACTAAGTGAAATTATCTATCTCTACACAAGTCCCTATTCTTTATTTTAACTTTTAAAAATACGTATTTCTCAACCTGCATTACATTTATGCTATATAAATAAATCCATTCCAAAGTGTGAAGTAAAATAAAAATTCCTTAGAGGTTTTGTAAAAGGAAATCAAGCTTTACACACGCACCCTATGATTGTTACATGGTTACCAATATGTCTCCTGAATTCTACAATACATATAAAATTGATTTTTATATACTGTTACACAGCCACATCTCAAAATAACAGGCATGCCATTTTAATGAATAAGTAAGAGTAGTAAATAAAGGAAAAGAAAGGTTTCTTACCAGTAAGCCCATTTTTCTCTTAAGGTTTGAACTCTCATCATTTGTCATGTTCTTGTGGATCCCTCTCTCATCAAATTCTCTGGAGTTTTAAAGTTAAGAGCTGTGATGCACAGCTAGGCTCTGCTACTACACAGTAGCGCACCCTAGTGCCTCAGCCTGGTATAACACTTCAGCTGTGGCTCCCAGAAAAAGAAACAAGCCTTGCAAATACAAAAGTCCATGTCCCGCACATCTTGCCTTGATAAAAAAAATTAGTCAGTGCAGTTGAACTACTTATATTTCACATCTAATCTCCTGATCAGAAATGAAAATGGGAACTGAGTGAATCCAGAGCTTAGAAAGCTGAAGAGGAAGAAAACGCTCCTCTCCCAGCAGAGGCAGAGTGAGATGATGCATCAGGAGCTCTGCCTCAGACAAAACATGTTTACCTCAAAATAAGCTTATTTTTGCCAGGATCAGGGTTCATTATTTGTAAAATGGTCTTAAATCTTTATTATCTTTCACACTTTCCTATATACCACAGATAGTATTAAATCTTAGCCAGTCATTAAATATTGTATTTTTTCTCTTACATCAATTTTCCAGGAATCTACCTCCTATTGGTTTGTCTAAACAAACAAGCTACTTCAAAAGAAACGACTGTAACTGTTCTCCCCGCATCTCCCATTTTAATGCTTTAATCATAGTATTTCTAGATCACTCTTTTGAATAAAGCTACATGCGATAAAATTTTAGTATTCAGTGAGTACTCAAAATTCATTTACTCTTGGAATTACCTGTGTTATATACTATGTGTACTGATACTGATAGACAAGTGAACCAGAGAGACAGCTTTTTTAATCTCAAGAAGCTCCTGCCTGAGGGGGGAATGAGGCAGAAAAACATGGTGAAGAAGCTTTCGTGGCACAGAACCAGGGTGCCAGAGCAGAGGAAGAATGAAAACCGTGCTGCAACTGACTCACAGCTGGCGGTGGCTGAGTGGCTGCAAAGAAAGTGGCAGTGTTGAGGGACGTGCATTTTAAGGCATACAAAGGACCACAGAGCAGAAGACAATGCATGACAGTGAAAAGATCTGCATTGTATCCTTTGTGTTATGAGAAACCATTTGTTGAGTGAGTGGATGGATCAACAGCAGAATTAACCAGGCAGTAAGTGCAGCAAGGATCCACTCCACAGTGGCTGGCTGGCTCTTTCAGCTCACGGCTGTAGCAGCCCAGAAACAGCAGGCTGTCGTTCCCTCCGTCATAACCAGTTTTCTTTGTTCTTTCTTGCTTTTGCTCCACAGGTCCTCCTGGCATGCATTTTTACCCCCTCCACCTCCTTTTCTGAGAGAAACCCACCCTTGTAGATTTACCCTAAATTGTACTCTTTTCTGTAATATCGTCCAATTTTTCTTAAGAGGGGCTTGCGTTATTCTAATGTTTAGCATGCGATACATAAGAAATCACTTTGATCCTATGCTCATTACATGAAACAGAATTGAACAAAAGGGTGACAATAAGGGCAGAAGGCAGAGAATGGGGCCGCATGAGCTCAAGAAACCCACTTTTCCAGATTTCAAAGTACATAGCTCTTCTAATAACTTCCTAAACCATGCTCAAACCTCCAAGGAGAATATAAAAATGGTGGGGAGATGAGCCCTGTTAGACAGGAGCTTCACTTTATTGCTAGGTATGTCGTACCTCTAGTTCCAAAATTACAGAGGACAGATGAAAGATGCCAACAGAATAGCTCAAAGATGGACAAGTGACCTTTAGAAAACAGCTGTTAAGTTGGGGGAAACTGTGACTATCTTTTATCACGAGCAGTAAAGCAAAAGTATTCACCTTGAAGGCGTTCAATAAACTAAAGGAATTCATGAGGAGCACAGAAAGAGATGGGAAACAGGGTGAATTATTTGATCCTGCTTCAATATCTTCAGGAACAGGCTGTTAAAGGAGAATACCTGCGTGTAAGAAGAGAGCTGTAGTTTTTAAAGGGTTAACTGTTTTGCTGGGAGATTAATATAGAAAGAGGTGTCCTTAAGCTTGTGAATATCAGTATTTTCACTCTATGGAATCACATCTCATTATGCCCAATGTCGAATACTCAGTAAGTATTCGAGCTTTGTTTCACCCTGTTTATCTTAAGATTTATTCAAGGATACAAAAGCCATGATGTTTTCATTTATGTCAATAATGAAAGTCTTTTCATCATAATCATTGCTTTTATGTTCAAATGAATGAAGAGGAAGAGGCTAATAATTTCAAAACATAGCTAATAATTGAAAGTGTATGCTCTCTGACTTAAGATTTCCAAGATAAGAGTTGTCTACATACCCTTTTCTTTCATTGAGAGCTTTATACTAATTTTTAAGAAAATAATTAAATACAGAGGAAAATACAGAGGGTATGTAACTTTGGAAATGTGCCACATCTTCTCAAATAATCTTCAGGAAGGATTAGTAGTTAGGAGGACATAAAAACTGCTTCATTTGTCTCCAGAATAATGTTTTAAAACTGCACATTAATGATATCAGGGACTGAAAACAAAGTAAGTCAGACCATTCACCCGTTTAGTATAACAGACAACAGAGTAACTATTCTAGTATTTTCTTTAGACCAGACAGGAAAGACAGATCAAGTTTACATTATCATTTCATTAGAATAGATATTTTACTGAAATTATTCTAGCTAGATAATTTCAAGGTTGTAAAGGGAATGGGGGAGAGGCGTGATTACAAAAATCTACCAATGAAAGCCCATTAATAAGTATCGGATATCTGTGATTAGTTGTAACAAGTGTCTACTAGGCTTACGATAATTCACTCCAATTTCACATTAAATATCATCTTCTTATCACCTTCATGACAGCTTTCTGGCTGCTGCGATGTAAGATCGCTCAGAACATGGTTGAAGGGAGGTTGTTTATAGAGCTTTCTGTCCTTAAGTCTATGTATGGCATATTTGGAAAATCATTGGTATAAAGAAGGGTTAGTCTAGGAGCTGACAGCCGACAACCAGGAAGCCTGCACTTAGGTTCTGACTGATCTAGGTCCTCTGTGCCCATATTACAGTTGTGTAGCTTGGTCTTTTTGTAGGACTCCTAATAGTGGGAATAGGAGCTGTCCCTGACTCTTTTACTGGCTTTTTGGAACACTATTAATGTTTTATATTAAAAGAAATTATTCATATTCCTATAGCTCTCAAGTTCATACTACAGGAGAATTAC